TAACAATGCCACCTCTAGCCTGTGATTAAGGAGAGGAAATCAGGAATAAGGAAGGATGCAGTGAAATAAGAGTGGCCTGAAACTGAGCTGGTTTACCATGTTAATTCTAGATACAGTGTAGACAGGCTTTTACTACAGGGATGCCAAGAGACAGACCAATATCTTCTTGTGCCCAGAGAAAACTGTGGCTAATGCCAACCTCTGATATTTACCTCTTCCTTCTCCTGTTTGGCTTCCTTACGTTCTGCTGCAATGTTTTTTTTACGGTGATAATTGAATTGGGTGTCTTCCTCCGCCTTGACCATCTCCTTCTTGCGCTTGTCATACTCCTGAGCCAGCTCCCCTGAACGACTGATCTCCTCGAACAGTGCTGTGCGCTCCTTGGGGTTCTTCATTGCAATGGACTCTACTGCTCCCTGGGACAGTGACAAACAAAGCCTCAGAAGGAATTTGTCACACGCCTAGACTTCAGCTTGCCTCCTCAGTGTTGCAGTGTGGCCAGTTCCCCAGCTCAGCACACAAGAGGCAAACCCATCAACCTACATTCATTCACACACACTTGTGGATGAACGGTTGGCTGCTACTGGGCCCAATAAGCTTGCTCAGGCCAACCTCCCATTCACAGCCACCCTCCCCCTTGCCGAATTAGAGGAGACCCTGTTGCAGCCAGGCTGCACAACTGTCTCAAGCACCCCCAAGACCAAGCACTTTACAGAAGTGTTCTCAGAAGATCCACACTTGGGCTGCCAGGTAAATGCAGGGTAGGAAAGGCCAGTGAATCTGCCTGTCATGTATTCCATCCTGCTGCAGCCAAGGGCATGTGTGTTTGCATTGGGTTATGACTCTGGAAAACAAAACATACCTGGAACACGAGAAAGTTCCTAGCTTTGATCAGAATGCCCAGTTTCTCCAGTTCTTCACTGTACTCGCTCAGCTGTACCACTTTGTTGTTTATTTTGTACTCTGATGAGCTCCCTACAAGACACAGATCTCCTTTAGCCTTGACAAGAACTGAAACCCAAGGTGTGAGAAGATCCAAATGCCACCCCCTGCCTGCAAAATTTTACCCCCTGCTGAAGATCCAGATGCCACCCCCTGCTGAAGATGATTATTAGTCTTACAAAGGACATCCAGAGAAACTATGGGGAATAAGAAAAGGCAAATATCAGATGGGATCAAGAGATTTGGAACTGGGTTATGTCCGTAAACTCTCAGCTGTCATTAGAACTGAACACAGTATTACTACTATGCAAAACCAAGGCAATAATGTTCTATTATCTTTCTGAGTGGGATGTTACAGAAGACATGAACTACTATAAAACTGAGAGCCAGAGCAAGAAACAGGCTTTCGGCTCTAGGTGATTAAAACTACAATTTCATGCAGTATATCTCATAGAACACAACTATCTGCTCTTCAGCATAAGTATGAATGCTATCTGACTGCAATGACCCCTTAAGGCAGGAGTGGGCATCCTACAAGTCTTTAGAGGTTTTGGCCTACAACTTCCATGATCACTCTCCTTTGGCTGCACTGACTAGGACAGCTGAAAGTTGCAGGCCACAACTTCAAGAAGCTTACACCTGAGAGTACCACGCGTTACCAAAAGGTTTTTCACATACTGATATGAAGAACTCCTCACATGCAAACACACTTCTCTATCTCAGCTTAATGCAATGAGCCCACCTCTCAGAAGTCCAACCACCCATCTCCTTGCACCATGACATGCCAGAGACCCCCACCATTCTTTTCTGAAGCCCAAATATGATGGCTCCAAAGCTTCCCCAAACCACCCCAATGCTTACCCACAATGACCCTTGCAAAGGTGCGATCTTCAGCACCATCTTCAGAGTAAACCATGCTGACAAATGCTCGGTTGGCAGCTGGCTTCCCTACGGGGGCCCCATGAATCAAGTCCCGCAAGGTCTTTACTCTCAAATTACTGGTCTTTTCACCAAGGACAAAGCTGATGGCATCCATGAGGTTTGACTTGCCTACGTGAAAAAGAGCAAAGAAAGAGTGATACATTTTGGCAAAGATGGACTAGCCTATGTGAGCCTTCTCTGTTAGGCTTTGATCCCAGAACATGTGAAAACCCAAGATTGCTCTTAGTACCTGCAAAAGATGTTTCTTACGCATCGTGTCTCCTCTAATTTGAGATGGAAACTGGGGCAGCACAGAGCCTCCCAGAAGTCTTGAGCTTGGTTTCTCCTACTAGAAGATTATACACAGCCTCCCTTTCCTTAAAAAGCACTGCCCTCTTTTCCCAGTACAGCTTTTCCTACTCTGGTGGCCTCAAGATAATTTTGACAACAACTCCCATCATTCTTGACTGTTCTATCACCACAGCTGAGCTTGTTGTGGCTGATGGAAACTGAAATCCAAAGCATGCAGAGGGCACCCAGTCCAGGAAGTTTGCCCTGCTGGATCTCCTTGAAAGAGCCATTCAATTGCCTCTCTGCCATTCTTCTTAAATCACAGAAAAACACAGTGGAATGCCTTCTCTCTAACCCCATTTGACTAAACCATCCTGACAAATCACACCTTGCTGAAGCGGGGTGCCCACTCCAGCTATTAACTCCTCTCCAAACACACCTATCACTAAGTAGTTTCTCACCAATGGCGACCCTCCACAGAAGCAGAATCCCAGCACTTTTAAAACACAGATGGGGCTGTGCACTTTCAAGAGCTATACAGTTGTCAGTAGCACAGTTTGGCGCAGTGGTAAATGCTGAACCAGGCTCAGGGTTTTAGAACCCACATGGACATGAAGCTCACTGAGTAACTTTGAGCCAGTCACTCGCTCAGTCTAATCTACCTCACAGAATCGTTGTGAAAATAAAATGGACAGGAGGAAAATAATTATATGAGCTGCGATGAGCTCCTTGCAGGAAAAAAAAATGGCGTATGCATAACCTGCATGCACAGCCTCCCAAATCCAATTATATTGGAAGAGCGCAACACGCAGCTTCCTCTCTGTGGGAGAGTAATGCTCTGCTCCACGCCTGTCAGCCGCCAAAGGAGGGCCACCACTCTCCGCGGGTACAAAGACGCAAACAGAGAGGGCTTTCTGCATCCCGCGCTAGGCGGGAGCAACACCAGAGCTGCGACTCAGTCAGAGCTACACCCCCTTTAGGAAAGGCAATGAACTAGTGCTTGATCCGCCCGCCCCCACCCCTGGCAGAACCTTCACCCTCCCCTTCCCTCCTCCGAGGGTCGCGTACCGGATCCATTGGGCCCGATGATGGCCGTGAAGCGCCGGAAGGGCCCGATGATTTGCCGCCCCTTGTACGATTTGAAATTCTCGATCTCGATCAGCTTGAGGAACCCCATTTTGCAGGTTAAAGAGGAAGGGGATAGGAAAGGGTTAAGGACTGCGGGGCTCGGTAGGGGACACGGGCCGGCAGGGCCCCTCTGTCGGAACCTCCGGGGCCCTGCACCCGACCGCTCTAGCCCGCTTTCAACAAGGGCGAGAACCCGCAAACCTCGCGAGAACTCACGATCCCTGCAATGCTTAATCTCGACTGCTGATAGGGCTCCGCTTCCTGAACTTTTTTATATATGAAGCACCGCCCTCTTTTCTCCAAAGATGAGTGAGGACCTTCTTCTCATGGCGCCTCCTCCCAGTCCCCTGCTTCTCTTTATGTGGATAGGCTTCCCGCGTAAAAATTTGCATAAATTGACGTTTGGGTAGAACCAATATGTCCCTGAGGGTTGAATGAGGTTGAAAATAGACTGCCCCGTTGCCATGGGAACCAGAAGGCAAACAGAGTTAGCCATCCCAGTATAGAGAGGAAAAAGGTGAGGCAGGGAAGGTAAATGAAGGGTTAACCTAAAGCCTTCTGTGCAAGTTGTAACTTTTATGACGAACTTCGAGTTTGTAATTTTATAATTTTCTTTAACAGATTTTGTATAATAGCCTTTGGGTAACATAATATTTGAGCATTTCATTGCAACAAAACTGTTTTGGGTGGTTTGTATCAGGTTGTATAATTTGTATTAAGAAACTTTAGTACGATTTTTTAAAAATTGCAGCTGGAGGTGCAATCCTATGCATGTTTAGACAGAAAAATCATGCAATTTTTGTTTTCATCTAAACATACGTAGGATTATTGGTTAAATGAATAAATGTTTTTTAATTGTCAGATGTTTGAATGGATAGATTGGTTTTAATATAGTTTTTATTTGAACTGCTTATGCCATGTATTAATCTTTGTTAATCACCAGGAGTTGCCAAGTTGTTGTATTTTTATTTCCCCCCCTTTTTTGTTGTGTTTGATTTTAATTGGTTTTATTGTTCTGCATTGTTTTTACTGTTATGTTTTTATTTGTAAACTGCCCAGAGAGTTCTACAGGCTATGGGGGGGGGGGGTATAAAAATGCAATAAATAATAATAAATGACTGCTCTCAATTACCTGCAGTTTGGGTTTGCAAAGTGCCTTATAGTTTCAGCCTAACCATTTGTACCTGACAATAACAACCTTGTGATAATCCCAGCCTTTCAAGATGCTATAAACCAGCCTTCCCCAACCAGATCTTTTGGACTTCAGTACTCATGAGCCACAGCCAGTACTGTATATCAAGTGGCAGGAATGCTGAGAGCCATAGCCCAAAACATCTGGCAATCAGTAGATGGGGGAAGGAGCAGGCCAGTCCCATTCCAGTTTCTTCTTTTCTCAACATGACATTCAGCTGCCCTCAGTGTTCCATTTAGTAAAGAGAACACAATAAAGGCAGAATCTATATTTGCTGCACAGGAAGAGTCAGCAATGACTGGGGGATCTGATTCAGAAAACAGACCTCTCCCATAGTAGCCAAAGCACTGATTGGAAGGTGATCCAGAATAGCCAGAGACACAATTCTAGCTAAGCATCTGTGCCCGCCAGGCAGGAGGAAATGAGATCAGGTTAATTGGTAATGGTGTGGTAGGTGGCCTACTGCAGAACCATCTGTCTTTCTCCCTTTCACACACAAACTCATCTCTCAGTTGCAGCTGTGGAGATGTATAAAGTGGACATTCAGACAGACCTAAAAGAGGCAGCTGCCATCGAAGCCCGCAGAAACCGGGAGAAGCAAAGACAGAGCCGCATCTTTAATGCTCGCTACCGCACCATGGGGGTAACTTGTGCAGAGCTGTGGAGCAATGGGTTGGGATAAGGGCTGCCTTGGTTGGAGGCTCTGCATAGGAGTCTCTGCACACCCCTCAGGTATGAGGCCTTGTGGGAAGAAATGCCTGCTTAGTATGAAAGCACCTTTGCACAGGAGCTATTGGCTTGTTTACTGAGATGAACACAGCCTTCAGTGGTGTTTCTTCCCAGCAAATGAGATCTCAGAAAAAATAACTTCAGTACTTTGGGCATTTAAGGGCTGTCGTTTGTGATTCCAAATTGTACAAGCACCATTTAAGAAGTAGCAGAGCTCATCTCTGCAGTTCAAAGGGTAGCTCACATGTGACTGTTCTTCAGGACCTTTTGCATTTCAGTGTCCAAGCACCTGAAGCCCCAGATATCTTGATTAAAGTACATATGTACTAAGTGACAGATTTTATTCTCCTGGGCTCCAAGATCACCACAGACGGGGACTGCAGCCAAGAAATTAAAAGATGCTTGCTCCTGGGGAGGAAAGCTATGGCAAATCTAGATAGCATACTAAAAAGCAGAGACTTCACCCTGCCAACAAAAGTGCGTATAGTCAAGGCTATGGTTTTCCCAGTTGCAATGTGTGGCTCTGAAAGCTGGACCATAAGGAAGGCTGAGTGCTGAGGAATGGAGGCCTTTGAGTTGTGGTGCTGGCGGAGACTCCTGCGAGTCCCCTGGACCGCAAGGCAATCAAACCGGTCAGTCCTGCAGGAGATCAACCCTGACTGCTCTTTAGAAGGCCAGATACTGAAGATGAAACTCAAATACTTTGGCCACCTAATGAGAAGGAAGGACTCCCTGGAGAAGAGCCTAATGCTGGGAACAATTGATGGTAAAAGAAGAAGGGTACGGCAGAGAATGAGGTGGCTAGATGGAGTCACTGAAGCAGTCAGTGTGAGCTTAAGTGTACTCCGGGGAATGGTGGAGGACAGGAAGGCCTGGAGGAATGTTGTCCATGGGGTCGTGATGGGTCGGACACGACTTCACGACTAACAACAACAACTAAACATCTGTGCCAAAAGCTTAAACCTGAGGCCTAACCCACTTCAAATCCATTCAAGTTATTTAGGAATGCTGGTGGCAAGGAGTTCACATTAAAAGCAAGGTTGGGCAACTGTTAGCACTCCTGATGTTCTGGCCTGCAGTGCCCATCTGCTCTAGCTAGTATAGCCAGTGATGAGGGGTTATGGAAGTTTCAGGCCAAAACATCTAGCATGGGTTTCAGATCATAGAAGGAAACAGTTTGGAGGGCCACAGGTCATCCAGTTGTATCTGTATCCTGCTATTCTGCATAAATCAGGCACTTAAGGCAGCTTACATAAGAAACTGAGAAATAATTTGTTTGAATTGGCTTTTATCAGCATCCTTGCAGCTATATTCTGCCATAGGATAGCTTATGCCATAGTACAGGAGTCTTTAAGATATCATGATGTCCTTTGTTTGGAAGAGATGGGAAGGTAGCATGCAAGAATCTTGCATTCAGTTTTCTGGTTCTGAACACACCTTGCCATGTGTCACTAATACCTGCACTGTCATGGTTGTTCTTCACCTTACTCAAGGTGGATGTGGAAGGCCTGAAAAGCCAAGTGGAAGAACAAATACTGAGAGAGAATGCAGAGAAACAACGGGATGACGCATTTGGTAAGCATTTTTGGTCTACTTCCCCACCAGGTCAATGCCTTAGATTTGTCCTTTGATGTTGGTGTGGGAGTTGGGAGATCGGCCACTCTATAATGTTCCATTTGGGCAAGTCAAGAGCCACAGGAGTACTTTCCAGTGCAGGAACGTAGGGTGTTCAATGTATTCTCGGTATCAGCATGAAGAAAAAGGAATAATAAATTGAAATGATTTTTATTTTTCAGTGTAATCTCCCATAACTTCAATACACTTATTACATCTAGAAATTAACTTTTCAATTCCCTGTAAAAAAATACCCTTCCTCCTTGTCTAAAAAATGTGTGTTAATTGCCGCCTTGAGCTCTTCATCATTGGAAAATCGCTTTCCATGAAGATCTTTTTTAAAATTCGGGAATAGGTAGTAGTCACTGGGGGCCAGGTCTGGGCTATAGGGTGGGTGGTTTATTTCTTCAAAACCAGCCTTCGAAATATGCGCTGTGTGAACGGGCATGTTCTCATGAAGAAGCAACACACCTGCGGTCAGTTTTCCTCGCCTTTTTTCTTTAATTGCTTCTCTTAAATTACTCAGAGTGGTTGCGTAAGATGCTGCATTTATAGTTTCACCTTTTTTCATGTACTCAATCAATAAAATTCCCCTTGAGTCCCAAAGCACTGTGGCCATGATTTTTCCAGCCGATGGAGTGATTTTGAATTTCTTCGGAGGGTCAGCACCTTTTTTGTGCCACTGCATGGACTCCTGCTTACTTTCAGGGTCATAGTGATGAACCCAAGTTTCATCTCCAGTAGCAACCCGGTCGAACATACTCGTTGGATCTTCACCACAGAGCTCTAAAAACTCCCTGCAGCACTTGACTCACACTTGTTTCTGAGGAGCCATGAGCATTTGCAGCACCCATCTCGCACAGACCTTTGAAAGGTTAAGATGGTCATGAAAAATAGTAAATATGATACCAACGGATAGGTTTGTCATCTCTGCTAACATTTTGATTTTTATTCGGGCATCTTCCAATACAAGTTTCTCAATTTTTTTCACATTTTCTTTCGTAGTGGCAGTAACTGTCCCACCCGAGCGAGGGTCGTCTTCAATGCTTTCTCTGCCCCTTTTAAATTCACTTGACCACTTTTGAACAGTAGGTAATGAAGGTGCAGAGTCCTGGTAAATGGCCACCATCTCTTCGTGAATGATTTTTTGACTTTTTCCTTGTTTTGTAAGGAACTTAATCACAGCACGGTGCTCAATTTTCTTCAGCATTGACATGTCAGTCATTATGGTCGTCTTTCACTGAGGATTACTAGGAACTAATGATCACACTTATTTGAAATTTTGCATGTATACCCTCAGATAGTGTCATTAGCTAATGAAATAATTAAATTACCCACATCAATAGCAAATCAACCCGATTCTGAGAATACATTGAATGCCCCTTATACATGAAATGCATTAGTTCAGCAACAGGTGTGCAAGCAGTGGTAGTCCAGCGTATCCAGAGAGCACTAGACTGGGGAAGGCTCATGTGGAATCTATATGAAGCCCCCAGGTCCTTTACAGCATGCACATATGTCTATGGAAATTATTCTTATGAAGAAGGAGGCTTTAGACATTGTGCCTTCTGTCATGGGACTTTTCCCACCACGTGAAGCTTGTTTGATTGCTAAGGACAGGCCTTCTCAGCAGGGGTGCTGCAGTTGAGGAATAGCCTCTGCCTTGTACTTCCTGCATTGATTTTCAGGTGCCAGGAGAAGAGCTTTTTATCAGACTGGATCTTTTAATCAACTTGTAGTGCTTTTAAGGGCATTTTTCCACTGCTCAAAAAGGAAGTTTTAGACTGCATTTTACTTTGTTCCTTGTATTTCAAATATTGTATTTTATTCTCAGTTCAGTAACTGCTCAGAGAACATATGTTGATGGGTGGCCACAAATATGGTAAATAAAAGCAACAGATTAGTTTATAACATTTCTATACTGGCCAATGGCTAAAGCTCTCTAGGCAGTTTACAAGCCTTAAAATGCAATGTAATTCATGTAAAACTATTTGTATACAAAAGTTTCAAACAGGTTTGCACAGTGAACAAAAAAAACTCAGGATCTATTAAAAGTCTTATCTTAGGCTAATCAGATGCCAGAGAGTAGTGGAAAGGCTTAATACAAGCAGGCAAATACAACTTGGTATGTTTAACTGAAACTTAGCAGGATGACATCCGTGACTGGAATTTAGCAACTGAAGGATATAATTTGTTCAAGAAAAAAAGGAACAGAAAGGGAGGTAAAACTGTACCATATGTTAAACCATATACATATGTTTGCAATGAAATACAGGAGGATGGGCTTAGTCACCTCTTTGAGAGCATCTGGATTAAAATAAATGGAGCAAAGAATGAAGGAGGCTTGCTGCTTAGACTTTGCAAACACCTTGAAATAAAGGCAGTGATTGCTAGAAGCCAACATGGATGGGCAAGAACAAATCCTGCCAGATGAATCTGATCTCATTTTTTGATTGAGTAACCTACCTAGTGGATTGCGGGAACACTGAACATAATATATAGTGCAAAGTGTCCCAAGATGTTTTGATTAACAAAGAACCAAAAAAAAAATTAGTTCAGCTGGATCCACTTTCTCATACTGGGGAGAGGTAATGAGTGGAGTACTGCAGGGTTCAGTGCTCGTCAACATTTTTATTGCTGATTTGGATAAGTTGGTTCATGTAATGCTTATCAGAATTGCAGATGACACAAAATTGGGTGGAACTAATCCCCTGGAAGACAACAGCACAATTCAAAGCTATCTTGATTGGCTTAAGTGCTGAGCTGGACAAATACAAAGTTACATAGGAACATAGAAACAGAGTGAGTCAGAAGGGGTCTCCCAGGCCATCTAGTCTGACCCCCAGCTCCACTCACAACATGCCCACCATGTGCATGTCTAGCCTACCCTTGAACACCCTCACCGATGGGGCCTCAACCACCTCCCATGGAAGCCCATTCCATACCCTTGGGATCCTAACTGTCAGGAAGTACTTCCTGGCATCCAAATTGAACCTTATTTCCATGAGGTTGGCTCTGTTGGAGTGCATCCTGCCTTCCTCTGCAGGGGAGTACAGGTCTCTACCCACCTCCATGTGACACCTCCTCACGTACCTATATATCGCCAATAGATCCCCTCAGAGTCTCCTCTTCTCCAGGCTGAAAAGTCCCAGTTCCTTCAGTCTTGCCTCATATGGCTTTCCCTGCAATCCAGCCACCATCCTTGTGACCCCTACGCTGCACTGACTCTAACCTGGCTCTATCCTTCCTGTAACGTGGAGCCCAGAATTGAACACAATACTCCAGTTGCGGGCGCACCAGAGTCGTATAGAGTGGTAGTAATACCCCTCTTGATCTAGAAGCCACGCTTCTGGCTATGCAACCAAAGATGGCATTCGCCCTCTTGACCATCGCATCACACTGCTGACTCATGTTTAGCTTGCAGTCAACCAGCACCCCAAGGTCCCTTTCACAAGTGCTGCTCTCCAGCCACTTGTCCCCTGACCTGCACTTATGACATCTATTCTTATGCCCCAAGTGCAAGACCTTGCACATATCCACATTGAGCACCATTCTGTTGTCCCCTGCCCACTTCCATAGTCTGTCCAGATCCTTCTGGATTTGGAGTGCCTGCTCCTCAGTTGTGGCCACTGCCCCCGTTTTAGTATCATCTGCAAATTTGATCAGGAGACTAGTCACCCCATCTTCCATGTTGTTGATGAAAAGATTGAACAGGACTGGTCCCAGGACAGACTCTTGGGGGACCCCGCTTGTCACTGGCCGCCATCCTGATGATTCCCCACTAATGGTTACCTTCTGCTTTCAGTCCATGACCCATGCCCTAATCCACTGGTCAGTGCATTGGTCTATCCCAAAACTCCCCAATTTCTCAACCAGGATATCATGTAGCCCTTTGTCAAAGGCCTTGCTGAAATCCAGGTAAACCACATCCACCCTGTTCCCTAAGTTCTGCTCCTAGGAAAAAGAAATGAAATATATGGTTACAAGATGGGAGATACTTGGCTCAACAATATTACAGGTGAGAAGGATATTTAAAAACTCATAGATCACAAGCTGAATTGAGGAAACAATTTGATGTGGCTGCAAAAAAAGGCAAATACTATTTTGGATAGCATTAATAGGAGTATCATTTCCAAACCACATGAATTGCTGATTCTTCTCTATTCAGTGCTGGCTAGGCCACACCTTGAGTGTTGTGTCCAGATATGGGCCCCAGAAAAAATGCAGACAAACTGGGAAAGGTTCAGGGTGCAGAGGCAACAAAGAGGATCAGGGGACTGGAAACAAGGCCCTGTGAGGAAAGACTGAGTAATTGGGCAAGAAGAGAAGACTGGTGGGAAATAAGGCAGTGCTTTTCAAGTACTTGAAAGGCTGTCACATCATCATCCCAGAGTGTAGGACATGAAATAATGGGCTTAAGTTATGGGAAGCCAGATTCTGACTGAGCAACAGGGAAAACTTCCTGCTGTTAGATCAATAACCTAATGTTGAGAACCCTCCCACCCTGGAGGCATGCAAGATGCACCTGGACAGGCTTCTGTTAGAGATGCTTTGAATTGAGCTTCTGCACTGAGCAAAGGGCTGGACCCAATGGCCTTCCGGGCTCTTTCCTTCTCTAGTAATCTGTGATTCTCTACCCTGGTACCAGAAACATGACCATGTTAGTGCCAGGCAGACCTCACAGGGGAAGGCATTCCATAACTGAAGTACTGCCAAGGAGAAGTCCCTCCCCATTTTTGCCATCTTCCAAACCTCCCTTGAAGGAGGGCCTCAAATGAAGATCATAGCACACACACAGAGGACATTTCTTAGTGAACATTTTCCTTGCCTCTAAGCACTGACATGGTGTACCTGCCTTCCCCAACTTGGTGTTTTTCGGATGTTTTAGACTTCACTTCTTGACAGTTCCAGCCAGCATGGCCAATGGGCAGGAATACTGAGGGCTGGAGGCCTATATACCTGCAGATTACCAGGTTGGGGAGGGTTCCCCCACCGATCTGCTTGGGATACACTACAACAGTGATGGCGAATCTATGGCATGAGCCCTCTCTGTCGGCATGCAATCGCCCCAGCAGCCATGAACATATTTGGAAAGATTAAGGGTGCCAGGCAATGATGTCACTCATTGGCTGCGACTCGCCGAGCTTTTGTATGCCTGGTCAGTGAGCTGCCAGGGATTTGCTTGGACTGTGATTTTAGCAGAAGGTAGGAAAGGTAGGAAATACACTCATTTGCCTTTTTCAGGACTGGCCAAAAGCTGGTGGTCAGTGGAATGTTGCCCCCTTGTGCTGGTGGTCAGCAAACTCAGGTTTTATTGCAGTGTTGGCACTTTGCAATAAATAAGTGGGTTCTGAGTTGCAGTTTGGACACTCGGTCTTTAAAAGATTTGCCATCACTGTACTACAATATGGACAACCTGAAATTATCTGGGAGCCGAGTGCACAAGTCCAGAAGGCTGAATAAAATGATGCTGATGTTCTCTTCAAGTCTATAGTCATAGTTTCCATTAAAAGTTGAGTAGTGTCTGTGCTGCAATTATTCAGGGGTAGAGAAAAGCTGAAGAATTTGGGACAATGATCAAATCCATACAAATTTCAGTTCCACTTCAAAGATAAAAATAACCCTTGTCATCTCTCTAGCTCTTATGGTTGCAGAGATATAGTTGGAAGTGTGTGGGCAGTGACATTTCGGAAGCCAGAGGAGTTGCTGAATATACCAAAAGCAGAAGAACTTTTATGAGGTTGCTTCTGCATTAGAGACCTTTTGTACTGCGTAGGCATTGCTTGTCTGTCATCAAGGGAAAGCAGACTAAAAACATGGCTTCTGTGCAGCATTTAGTATACCACTGTATCCTCCAAAAAGGCCCATTCCCCATGACCAAGAACTGTCTGCCATGTTTTCTCAAAGCAAGCCTGTTCTGCCAAGCTGCCTTGCAGTATACAGGTTTCTCCTGGTAGTTCCTTTCTGCTCCTTCCCTTGCTTCCGGTTCAGCTCAGCAGAAAGTTTATTGATGAACAACTTTAATTACGCAAGTCTGGGAATATTCAGTTACTGAATGCCTGTCACCAGTTTTTAATATTGTAAAGCAGTACTGTTGTTGTCTCCGACTTAAGGCAACCCTATGAATCAGAGGCTTTCAATATTCATGATATTCTAACTGTTCTGAATTCAAGACTGTGGCTTCCTTTATGGCGTCCATCCCTCTCTCATTTGATTCTCCTTTTGTTCTTTTGTGGGGTGGGGGTCAAATTCCAGAGTCTTTGCTGCTTTGAATTTCAACCACTTTGAACTGTACAAAACAGGGTGTTTGAGGAGACTATTTGTGGGAACAGAATAGAAATCTGCAGAGCCAGAATCTGACCTATCTACTGTTCTGCTCTGGTCTACTCTGCAGTCCTCAAACACCTGAGTGGCCCCATTCTGTAACCCCAGCCCTTGGGACTGCAGAGGGATGAGAAGGGGGCAGGAGAGGACTCTTGCCTGTGGGAGGCCTTAATAATAATACTCATATTAATGAGCATTTTTGTATGATGGAGGATTGCTTTTGTTGTGTCTCTAAACAGTTCTCCCAAATTGCTTGCATAAAAATACAATAATAGGATGGAGAGACTGAAGCAGCAACATAATCAACAAGGGGAAAACCATTTTTTAAACTGACTAAATCTAGGCCAATGCCAAAAGCTTAAAAGGGAGAAAGCCCATCACTTTACACTTCACTCCTGGGTAGGTTAATTTATTTTCCAAATCACTTACTCACATTGGGCTTATCCAGCTAGACTCTAGACTTGCCATTCGCTTTGGGGTAGGGGTGGTGGAGAGGATGGAAAGCAGGTGTTCTCATGTTTAGCTCTGCCAGCCAGAGAAGAGAAGGCAAGAGGACCAGTAGCCCTGGAAAGTCACAGTGGCCCTCAGCCAAATCACCTGTACTGACTGGCATAGCAGTTACATTCTAAGCCAAAAAATCTGCCCATCAGGTGCCAAAGGAAAGGACAGCACAGGAAACACTGGAATGAAAGAACTTGGCATTGATGTCGTCTGGATTCTTGGTAAAAAGTTATTCCATCCCAGTCTAAATTGCTAGTATAAAAACAACCAGAGAGCAGAATAAAATGCCAAATTATGCTAAACAAAGAATGATCATGCAGACTTGCATCATTCTTAGAGGCAGCGGAATTCAGATTTCTTTTCTTCATTGGTATCATAGTTTTGGTTCCTCTGCTACAAAATCTGGATTTATATACCATATGTATTTTGTGCAGAATTTGTACCTGCTTCCCTCAGGCTATCGCCATCTTACTTTACAAGAGGGCATATGTGTGTGTAACTGAAATGAGCACACCATAAAATACAACGCCTGGAACATCCTGTGCTCTTCTTCTTTTGTTTCCTGGTATAGATGCAGACAGGGTGCAGTATGACAAGATTGCGCAGATGCTGGAGGAAGAAGAGCGCCAGCGGAAACGGCAGCTAGAACAGGCTGTGGTGAAATTCCGCGAGGAGAAGCAACAGCCATCCATGAGCCGTGAATGGGACATCCATGACCCCGAGGTGGTACGCAAGGGCAGTCCGGCTCGCGTGAGTGACGATGACCCACGCTGTGGCCCTTCAAGCATGCAGCGCTTTGGTGGCGAGGACCTCCAAGCACCTGCCCGCCACAAACTGCAGAAGGAGCAGAACAAGCGTGTTCTGGAAGAGCAGAAAACTGAACGAGAAAGGGACCTTGCGGACCAAAAATATGCAGGTATGTTCAGGCTGAGGAGCATGAGGCAGGGGCCTGGCGAGCTGCATGCTGGTGCAGGACGAGGAAGTGTAGGGAAGGGAGTGGGTCACTGATGCTCTTGCCAAGGAATTGTGAAGAACAGCATCGAGCTGGTGCTGGCATTGTCCCAGCTGAGCACATGGTGGTGCCTGAGGCTGAAGAAAATGGCAGCATGCTTCCAAAAACCTATTCTGGGACACGATCCGCCAAGAAATACTCCTGTGCAGCCTCCCCACCCCATGCGTATTTTAGTCTTCCCATCACTTCAGGATGTCTCACTAGTGTGTCCACCATTCTTAAGCACACAATATGTCCCAACCCGATCACTGAGATCTTCATCAGAGGCCCTTCTCTGAATCCCCCCCCCCCCCGTGAAGTCAGGGAAGAGATGGCCAGAAGGGCCTTTTCTGTAACAGTGCCCCACTTGTGGAATTCACTTTCATTAGAGATCCTCCAGGCATCTTCTCTCTCCTCTTTTAGACACCAACTGAAAACATTCCTTTTCCGTGACTATGCTAACAAGTGACTTGACTTGGTTTTAACGGTTCTTATACTGGTTTTATTCCACTACTGCCATGTTATGAATTTTAGTTGCCAGACAATTTTACTCTACTTACAATATTATTCCATTTTAATTATAAGGATGATTTAATTGCTTTTATTAATTGAATGTTTAACTTTTATGTCATCCTCTTATTGCCTTTATTGTTTTGCTTTTTATATGTTTTATTATGTAGGCATTGTTAATTGTATTATCTGTTGCTGTTTAATGCATTGTCGGCTGCCCAGAGAGCCTTACGGCTAAGGGGTGTGGCATACAAGCTCAATAACTAAACAAACAGACCTTTCTGCATGGCTGGTTGCCTGCTTCAAATTTGGCCTCCGTTCGGGGTGGCATTGCTGATCTACAGGCTTTATTTGGGTTCTTGAACAATCTTGGATGACTGCCCTCTTTTTAAGAGTCTTGGCATGCCCGGGAACAAGTTGCTAGGGGAATAATTCTGTGTTTGCAGCAAGGCAAATCTGGGATGCAGCTGCGCTTCCCCTCCGCTGCTGCTGCTGCACCATCACCTCCAACAAGGTCACCTGCACAAGTGCAGGGGATGCCCCTTCATTTCGGAGCGTGGCAGGCACAGCAGAGCTACTCCACGAATTGTGCCTGCACTCCTCCAGGTCTGCCTCCCACTCTGGAGCCCACACCTTAATGGACCCCGCAACTTCTTCCCACGATGTAAGGAATGTAAAGCAAGAAGAAATACCATATTAAATGAGTGATATAAACAACTTGTGGCTCTATAAATGTTGATGGAATACAACTCCCATCAGCCCTTGGCTGTGCTGGCTAGGGCTGAAAGAAGTTGCAGTCCAACAACATTTGGAGAGCTGAACGGTGCCCATCCCCAGATTAGATTTTTGCAATTGGGCCAGTAGGTTAGAGCAAGATACTTCATAAGTGATTCCACCTCAACGCCTGGCTTTACTGCCCCAGGGTGACTTGCCTTCCCTCATTTCAGCCATGAGATGCACTCTGGCACGAGAACGTTTCTTCATGGGACAGCCTCCCCACCACCCCAAAACTGACTGGGGGAGCTGATGGCATCCCTCTAGGCTGAGAGCTGAAGATGAGGAGGGAGAGCCACAGCCACACAGCAGGTGACCAGCCTGGTGGGTGAGGAATGGGCCCTGGGACAACACTTGGAGTCAGCTCTCCTGGAAGGAGGGCCAGGTTTGCTCTTCCCCAGGGCCCTAGCAGGCCACAGCTTTGAGCTGCAGAGTCTGCATTAAAAATCTAAGTTCCCTGTCCCCAGTGTCCTGCCTTTGAACAGAATCAATCTGTTCACTGACTTAACATGACACAACCAAGGCAACCATATAACACGTGCATGCGCACACACACAGAGGCATGCTTCTCACCATCTTCACAAGCCCAGGGTAGGAGCTGCAGAAGAGCACAGGCCTGTCCCACTTGTCTCCCCTAGTCTGCAGCCGCTTTGTAGAGCTGACTCTGTGTCCAAGGAGGGGGAAAATTATTCCTGACAACCCAATGCCAAGACTGTGTGCCAGAAGACCTGGCCTCTTCCATTGCAGATATCCTGGAGGGCAAAAAGAGGATAGAACTGGACCAGCGAGCCCTGGAGCTGGCCCGTTTGGAGGAAGAATGCCGCAGGGCCAAAGCCATGGCCACCGCCAACTTCAATCGAGCCCAGGTACCATCACTATCTGTGACCTCTCCAGACTGTCACCTGGAGAGCTGCCTTGAGGCAGGCAGGAGCACAACCATGCAGATGACAGTGGTAAATGTGGGGCTAGGAAGGGGAACCGCAGCCCCTCAAAAGCGATCTCTGTTCCCCTGCTCAGGCCGCAGAGGAGGCTCAGCAGCAGCGTCTGGCCCAGCAGCGGGAGCAGGACGACAACTATGCTGAGATCCAGAACCACCTGACGGGCGACATCTTGACAGAAAACCCTGATGTAGCCAACAGCTTGATGGGCCCACACCGCGTGATCCCCTATCGCTGGAAGGGGATGACCTCTGCACAGATGGAGGCTATATGGAAGATGCAGGCGGAGCAGTGCATGGAGAACCAGGCGAGTGGCCTGAAAAGACTAGTGCACGCCATGCAGGAAGAAGCACTTGGGAGGGAGGACACACACTTGTTCATAACTACAGTATATCACAGAAGTGAGTACACCCCTCACGTTTTGTAAATATTTTATCTTTTCATGTGACAACCCTGAAGAAATGACACTTTGCCTCAGTGTAAAGTAGTGAGTATACAGCTTGTATAACAGTGTAAATTTGCTGTCCCCTCGAAATAAGCTCTGGTGAACTCCATGTCCAAGAGGGTTAAGGCAGTGCTGGAGAATAATGGTGGCCACACAAAATAGTGACACTTTGGGCCCAATTTGGACAGTCTCACTTAGGGGTGTACTCACTTTTGTTGCCAGCGGTTTAGACAGTGATGGCCGTGTGTTGAGTTATTTTGAGGGGACAGCAAATTTACACTGTCATACAAGCTGTATACTCACTACTTTACACTGTAGCAAAGTGTCATTTCTTCAGGGTTGTCACATGAAAAGTTATAATAAAATATTTACCAAATGTGAGGGTGTACTCACTTCTGTGATATACTGTACTACTGCTAGGGAGCACTAGGATGGCTAGCAGTTGTGGGGAATCTGTGACGCAGGTGCACAGGTGAGAGGGTGGATTTTTGCAGAACATGCACCTGTCTGCAGCTGCTCACTGGCCAGGATCTGAGTGTGCATGGCTGACAACCAAGCTGCCTGTCCAGCCCTTTTCCCTGGAGGGCTGCATTCCCACAGGGATCGGAGCGTGCATCAGGGGCTGCATGCCCATAGTGGGACCAGAGCCAAAGTGGGGCCGAGCCACCCCATTCCAGCTCCCTCCTTGCCCAGTGGGCTACGGGGTTGGGTAGACTAGTCCCACCAGGAGTATGCACTGATCACTTGTGGGGGCTTTTGAAGTTTTGCCAGTTCACTTGAGGGTTGTATGTGGCCCCAGGGCAGCAGGTTGCCCACCCCTGCTCCAGGACAGAGCTGTGCCAATGAGCCAGCCTCTGAAATTGGCAGCTTGGCCTTTTGAACCCAGCAGCGGGGGAGAATTGCCTGTTGTTTTGACAGACAATTCTCAGAACATCCCTTCTGCATCAAGAGGGACCTTCTCCTTACTGGATCATGCATTCAAGAGGGATTCTCTTGCTGAAGTGAGAGGTCACAGGCTTCCCATTCATTAAGCACCATGGTCCCTTTTGTTCCCTCTGAGCTTCCCACTGGAACCTTCTCACCACCCACACCAGTGCAGTGATACAGTAGAAGCCACTGGACAAAGCTACAGCGAGCCGGAACATTGTTACAGTGCTCTCTATGGCAATACAGTTGTGGTCAGGAGTTTGTAACAGAATAGCGGTGGAGTTGGAAGGGCCCATAAGGCCATCGAGTCCAACCCTATTCCACTACTGCATTTGGTCCCCCAGTTGGCTACAGGCCCATGCCTTTCCAGCTTAGCAAAGGTGCCTTAACATGCTTGCTTGATGTATAGCTATGTGCAGTATGAGCAATCCCTTACAACAGCCCTGTAAGGTACCAGTGTGGTCTCCAGAGTAGAATTTGAGTGAGGCGGAGACTAAGAGCACAGTGGCACATTTATGGCTTCCCTGTGAGTTCCTGGCAGAGAACAGAACCAGCAACCGTGCTAATGCCACACTTGCCCTCTGCACTGCACGGGCTCCTGCATCTGTTGTGCATGTCCCTCCCTCCTCCTCACAGAGGCTGCGGGAAGCAGAGCGGCAGCGGGATGCTGAGTGGGAGCAGCAGCAACACTTGGCTGCCCGAGCTGCCTTGGAGATGGAAGTGCAGGAGCAGAATTTCCGCTTGCAGCTGAGGAAGAGCCAGGATGCCTACAACAAAGAGCTGGCTGATGCACAGAAGTCTAAGTGAGCAACCTGGGGGGGACCCTGCCCACAGGACAAGCGGATCACCTTCTGCAGGTGGAGGGTCTGTGCTAGCCTGGGGGTCAGCAGAGTCTCATTTCAAAGAATGGGGCTCAGGCAAGAGCAGCCCCAGGTGGTCAGCAAAAGGGGCATGCCGGTGCACTGGTGTTCATCACCAAGGCCTCCCAGGTGAAATGCTGACTGTCAGAAGAACAGGCTGCGCCACACACCCCAGTCACTTTCTGGCTGTCTCCGCAGCATCACTGCTGAGACAACACTTGGAAAGAGGCAGCTCGGGTTAGTCTGGAAGCACTGCCTGCTGCAGGAGCCCTTCCTTCTGCACCGGGTGGTGGGAGTGCTCTCTGCAGCCATGCAGCAGCACAGGGGAGCACCTGTTGCACATTCTTGGGAGATCTTTCCTTCCATGTTCCTGGGTTCAGTCCAGCTGTGGAAAACCGATGCTGGGGCTGAGCCACGGCACAAACAAAGCGACACGCGGCTCTCTGCACCACAGAACACCTCTCCATTCTTTGTTTGGCAGCTTACGGTACCTGGAGAAAGAGGTCTACACCAATGCACCCACAGCCCAGTACTACCTGCAGTTTAACACCAGCAGCCGCTGAAGGAAGGATGGGAGAGGTGAGGCCCTTGGCAGCCAGCGCAGGAAGCCTTTTTGTACAGAACAATGGCGCCCTCTGGTGATTCTCAGGAAGATGCAAGGACAAAGAACATGTGCACCAAGAACAGAGTTTGAGTTACTTCACCTGTTAGCATGTGGCTTCCCTTGCAGAACACTCCATGTGGCCCTGCTGTAATAGTTTTCTGTTTAGATGTCCATACCACCAGGGAAGGCTGCCCAATCACACAATGGACTGCTTTGCACTACTTACTTGCCACATGATTATATGTATCTTGTGCAAGAGGTTTCTGCCAAATATAATCAGAGATTACTTTAAGGTAATGGAGTGATTTGTTAGCCAAGAACATCAGGGGTCAAGGGAACAGCTTTGTGACCTTTCCTCAGAGTCCAGCTCACAATAGTTTACACACCATTCACATGACAGACAGGGAGCACCAAGCCTGGCAGCTCGCTTCCTGCTCTCGCCATGTTTGCATTCTGGACTGAGTACTCACCTATGCACACAGCTGTGCACTTGCCCTGCACCCACACACTAGGATTCTTGGTTTTCACAAGACACCATGATATACAACTCTCCTGGCTACACCTAAGTTTTACTCATCAAAAGCAAGAAAAAAATTAGGAGGAGTTTGCAGTGGTTTGCATTACAGTGACAATTCCCAACTGGAAATATTTCCCTCCAGCTATTACTGCTTGCTGCTCTGCATCCCAACTCCCCCTCCTTTTTGTCAAGAACTCCAAATCATTTGGAACCTTTAGAAATAAGTCGTTTGCACAATTTATTCTAACAACATTTGGCTTTCCTTGAAACTTTTGGTGCAGTATTCATTGACTCCTCCATATGACATGAAAGAGACACAAACTTAGGTTGTTAGAAAAGCAGTGGGAAAGCCCTGGCCTGTAGAGGCCCGGGCCCTTTTTACAGTGCTTGCCCAGCCTTGCCCCCTAGTGTGGAGGCTCCTGGGGACTTGGGGAGGAAGCAGGAAATAGAGCCCCCTTATCATCTCCAAGGTTTATTAGAAATTGCCTAGGGATTCCCTTGGGAGACTGGCAGCTGCACACTTGTCCGTTGCTGGCAACCAACTCCTGCGACCACCAGCTGAGTCCCTTGCCTTGTGCATGTCTCACCACCCCAATCAGAATGGCCAGCAGTATGGACAAGGGAGGGTGTGGGTCCTTTGACTTCACATGCTGCATCTGCTCATCCAAGGAGGCTTGGCCAGTTCACCAGGTGGGTCGTCTATCTGGCATGTCAGCTGAAATTTAAATGATGCTGGAGTGAGGGTCTGGCTCTCATGTCATTCAGTTCATGGAGCAGGATGCCGTCATGCCCACCACTCCTGAATTAAAGTCATAAGAAAGACACCAGACACCTAGATGGCTGTCTTCCTATTTGGAAGTAAAAGAGAGGGAGGAGTCTTTGATTGCAATGAAAGTTTGAAAGACCATGGAATGCTGGGCTAGCATGCAGGTCTTTCTGGAGCGTCCCACTAGCACTGGAATGGAGGACTCGTATGGTAGACAGGAGGTCATATCTGCAAGTATTCATTTATTAAAATCCAGATAGCAGTCATTTGCTTTGCTGGCCCGGATCCCAGTAGGGGACCTTGCCCTAGGCAGCTGGAACCACCAGCAGGTTCAAAGGACTATGATGATGGCCCAGTGGGAGCAAACACTCCGGATAACAACAGGGAGGGCAAGCCCTCTTGCTCTCCTAGGTCTGCACTACAGCTCAGGGCTGCATTCGGATAGCTCCATCAAGCCGGATCACCTCGCCGTTAAGCATGGGATTCTCCACTATGCACTGCACCAAATGGGCGTATTCCCCTGGAGCACCGAGGCGACTGGGGAAGGGCACCTGCCGTGCCAGGAATGTCTGCACTTTCTCGGGAAGCGATGCCAGCAAAGGTGTTGCAAAGAGGCCTGGAAAAACAAAGGACACTCAGAGCTGCCCCAGTTCTTTCTTGGTAAGACTTAAGCAAGGCTGGGTATATGTCACAATTCCTGGAAAACAGAAGGTACGATTAGATGCAAAGTTCAACCGCCTAAGAATCTTAGTTTCCGTTCTTTGAAAAGCATTTATCAGGTTCGTGCTGCAAATATAGGCTTCAAAGTACACAGTCAATTCCTGCTGAAACCTGAGTTGTGAGAAAGGTGACTGAATAAGGTTTCTGGAGGTTGTGGGCCCTGCATCATCAGTACATTACAGGGCTTCCAAACCCAGAACTAGTCAAACAAAACTGAAAATTCAAGGTAGCAAAATTTGTTATAGAAAATGTAGTTTTGCATGTATTCCTCTACTTTGCAGAATGAATGCAGACTACAGAATTTGCACTGCTTTGGTACAGGATTTTAGAGGGAAATTTTGGTGCAGAGTATACACTACCCTGCCATTCCAGCCCTGAGCACCTTTTGCAAGTTCTACTCTCTTCTCCCAGTTCCAGGGCAGAATTGGTACCTGGTGCAATGGTAACGACTCTGATCCCCATGGGGGCAAGATCTCGGGCAATGGGCAGCGTCATTGCCACAATGCCTCCTTTGGAAGCAGAATAGGCAGCCTGGCCAACCTGCACAACAAACAAAGAATAATTTAGTTCACAAAAGATAACAGAGCAAAACACCTGCACTCACTACAGTCCTAAGTTAGAAGCATTATCTGAAATATACACAGAAAGTTACAGTGCAAATGCCAAGTACCACACTGAGAAAGCTGCTGATGGGGTGGTGGGGAGAGCATCAAGTGTACAGAACACTGGTGTGTCAGACTAACTAGCTACTGAATGCCCATAAAGGGTACTTTAGTGTTGGCCAGATCTTTGGACAAGAGTACAAATAAGCTCACAGCACAAGATGGTGACATTGTGGTTCACACATGCACAGTGCCATGCTTCCCCCCACATCCTCTGGGAGAAGCCAGCAGGAATACAAGTCTACTTCTGTGCCACAGCGATCTCTCTGCTTCTCAGCAAGTGTTCCATAATCTCTGGCTGCCTCAGATTTGTTTAGCATGTGCTCTTCTCTGCAACACCATTGTCCTTGTTTGCTGGCCTTAGCAATACCACTGTTTGGTAAGGAAATTGCTGCACACTGAAACAGATGGGTCTTCCCTTTAATGCCAGCTAGTGCACCCAACCAGACCAGCTGGCAGAGAAAGCTCAAGCCTCACCTGTCCCTCAAAGGCAGCCACGCTGGCAGTGTTGATGATCACCCCTCTGTGTCCGTCTGAGCTGGGCTCGTTCTGCCCCATCACGCCTGCAGTCAGACGAATTACATTAAAGGTTCCCGCAACATTCACCTGAGGAACACAGACATAGGAAACATACAGGTCCAAAAGCCATGCCCCTCCCCTCCCCTCCCCCCACAAAATGCAACACAAAGTCACCAGCACTCTTTAGAATCAACTGCAGCCTCAGAAACAATGCCACCCACTCCACAATCATCCCCAGATTATGAAATGGATTCTGAACACGCTGGCCCCTGTATAGCCAAAGCTGTACCAAGTACTCACAAAAAGAAGTTCTCAGCAGGCCCAAGGGAATGTGATCATTTGCAGGAGTTAAAAAACAAAATACAGAAGCCCAATGAGGGCTGAACATACTCGGTGGGTATTGAAGGCTGACAAGTGGGGAACCCCCTTGAAAAGTGGGTGAGGAGTAGGAATGGAATGGAGCCTCCAGGAAAGCAACATGGCTGTCTAGAGCCCTGGTCTGGAGCATTTCACTCTGCAACATTCTGTTTCAGGTTCGAATGGCCCAAGGTATTTTCAGTTATCTGCTGCGAGACCAGAAGGGTTAGGAAAATGTGGGAACAAGAACAAGTGATAAACTGGGAACCAGGACGGTCTAGGCAGCTCTTCTCCTATCCTACTCACATTAAGAACTCTCTGGAAGTCCTCCAACTTGTGAGCAATTCCCTTCTTCATATTATACGTTTTGACAGCCACTGCAATCCCAGCACAATTCACTGCTACATCCACACGTCCAAACTTCTCCTGAGCCTGGGCCAGGGCAGCCTTCACATCTGACTCTGATGTTACCTGGGCAAGGAGGAAAGAGGTTGACTCAGCTCAGCTCCTACATCTTGCTCCCCATGCAGAGCTGGGAAGAGCCAGCCTAGGCTCTCCAATTCCCTGTCTGAAAGATCCTTACATCAGCAGGCGCAAAGATGCATCTCTCTCCCAGTGACTTGGCCACGTTTTCCCCATCAGACTTAGGCAGGTCCACCAGCACAGCACTGCCTCCCTGTTGCACCATCCGCTCTGCTGTGGCCCGGCCCAGTCCTGAAGCTCCACCAGTCACCAAGCAGACCATTCCCTGTGTGTGTATGAAGAGGGAAAAGGTAAGGAAAATAATGAAGAAATTATTATGCAAGCTCCACAGATGCAGAGAGGTTCCGAAGCTAAAAACCCTTTCAGACAACACTCACAGATACATACTGGGGAGGTGCCTCCCAGGCTTTCCTTGGTTTGCAAAATACCTCAGTACTTCCCAAGGAAAATGCAATTGCCACCTTTTTTTCTGACAGAACTTCTGTACCAGAAAACAACTGCATGACAAGCAGAAATACAAGCAGCTTCTCCCCAACACAGATACAATTGCGGGGAAACGTTTGTCATGAAGCTGACTGAAGTTCAGGAGTTTTACCAGATTGTTTTTGGAGATGGTGGGGATCACAACCCTATTATCTTTTAAAGTACAGGATGCTGTGCTTTAAATGGCTGCAGGCAGGTACAAGTGCAACAGCTGCCGCTTCCCCACAATTGTTTTTCTGTTAGGCAAACGATGCACTTGTTGCATTTCTGCCTGCCTTTCAGCTGTTAAAGGCATAGGAGCCCTACCCTTTTTCAAAACTACCTAGCGAGAGGCGCAAAGATGGCATTCTTCTAGCCTTCTCCCCCTACTGTAAGATCATTGGTTTCTTCCAGGGACATGCTGTCTCTGCTCCACTCGGACCATATTGGTGGCTTGATCCATCTCCTGTTTCCCTACAGCTGGCAAACCCAGCTAGTTCTTGAAGCTCACGTATGTGTCCCCTCCCGGGCCCCGTAGGGCTGCTGGTGCTGCTTTTGCGGGGTTGTTACCTTCACGCTTCTCAATGCCGCCGCCGCCGCCGCCGCCGCCATGTTGTTCCCCCAAAGACCAACCTCTTCCTAGGCAGAGTGGGCGGAAGTACGGCAAGAGGCGGGTAGTTGTCGGGTGAAGCGATGCGATTTGCCGTCTCATCTTGCACATGTTTAGTCCGAGGAGTGTTCCACCGATGTGAATTAAGCGAAACTTTAGTAAATCTATCTTCTATTTGAGTTAACCGGCCGACAGTTACACACGATATATCTTGCACTGTGTCGCAAGACGTTTTGCCGCCTCACCTTTCAGTTGTCCCGAGTGCATAACCAGAATACAAAAAACGCAGCCCCATCCTCGACAAGGTAACCTTGCAAGGAAGTTGGCATGACGGTGATCAATTAGATTTATGTGTTATTTGGATATGGGTAGAATCGCAGCCCTAAAAGAATTTGAGGTAGGACTATGAAAAAGAGGCAGACCGCAGCAGTTTGCTTGTAGAGGCTGAAAGCCAACGACCAGTGGGCGTCTTTGGCGGCCACTATGGGAAGAAATAGGGTCGAATAAAGACTACAGCTTTATTTGGGGTAAGTGAAAGCTTGCAGGTAAGAAGAAACTCCCCAATTTTTCTCTGAAATTAAAAAAAAAAACTAGCAAGTTTATGGCTTATAAAAAGATTGGGACTGCGGGTCTTCTATTAGCCCCATTCTTGGCTAGGAAAGTAGCTCTAAGGAGAAATAACTTCTTGCATTAGCTATATACCTAGTGTATGTAAATATATGTAATGCATACACTCATCAGTTTGCTGTCAAGCCACCCAATTGGTGACCAAGTGAGACTTGCTTCTGTATAATGTGGATATTGAGACAATCCTCACTGTGAGATCTGTTGGAATGCACCTAAACCAGCCCTCTGTAGTACTCATTTTTGCTTTTTCTGTTCGTATTTTTTGCCATTTGTTTACTGAGTATCTACTTACTCCACTTTGTGTGTTCCTGTGTGCAAGGAGTGACTAAGACTGGAATATGAAATATTCAGATTTAACTTGATTTGTAGTTGAATGATTAACAAGGTGGCTAGGTGCTTGGTGCAGACTTAACTGTTTCTGAAGAAAACAGTTAAGTTCATTCCCCTTGATGAAACCACAAACAGCCAGGGCTAAAGGCTTACACTGTCTACAGAATATATGAAGTTCTATTATGGAAAATCACTTGGTTGACCTTAATGACTACAAAAAAGCATAGAAAAAGACACAAAATATGGAAAAAAGTTAGTGTAAAAGGACAAGGGAATACATATCTGCTCTTAAGTGTTAACTGGTGTGCAGCCCATGCAGGGGGCCACAAATAAGTGAAGGTTATAAGTTTAATTCTGAAGAGCATCAGGGGAAGACTCCAAGTCTTTGTTGCAGGATAACATTTTTTAAAAGCCCCCACCAACTTAGGGAATACGAAAGGTTGCACGCTCTACTAGAATGCACCGTTAATTCGGTGGGCCAGGTAAGAAAGATATGCACCTACTTCTCATCCTCTCTACAAAGAGACAAACTTATTTTACTTTCTGTGGCAATAAGAAGCCAAAACTCTCTGACTGCTAACAGCTGGCTTCTAAATTAAGCCAAAACTTCAAACCTGACCCAGTCTATTCATAAAGTATACTATTCAGCACTAGCTTCGGTCTTCACTGACAACACCATACACAGCTTATTCCATAAATAAAAGTTTGAGGTTAGAAAGTAATACATGGGAGTTACTGTGTCTGACTTAGTTAAGTGGCAATCATTGAACCAGAGTGGCTGGTAGAACATTTTTGTAACCACAACAGCAACTCAGCTTTCCAGACACACTGGTGGACTGATGAGCACATAATGTTAAAATTCCCAAGTAAACAGTGAAAGACAGGATCTGCCAGTGATCATTAACATGCTGTATTCAGGCTATTTGTTATTTGGATCCAAAGTCTAGCTATTCAGGCATATTATCCAGCATTATTCCACTGCATCATTAGACAATTGAATGACCAGTGGAAATTGTGAACTGAAAAAATGTTGAGCTTCTAAAGGAAGAGAAAGATTCCTATGTAACAGGATCTTGTGAAAGGGAAATTCCTTCACCCCAATTCAAATTTCCAGGTTCCTACAACCAGCTAGCCAGGATTTTTTCAGAAAGTATTCCATCTCCTGAGTTGCTATGCCATAGTTGAACTAGTGGTTTTCAAGAACTCATTCAAGCTTTCTTTAAAAAAAAAAGTGGGGGCATGGAACAATACTTCCAGGTCTGTATCACTCCAGAATGTCAAGAGAGTTACTGCACATTTGCAAATTTTCCTCCATCAGGTACTTCTTGTATCTGAAAAACTAGAATGTCAGGATGATCTAAACTAATACAATTTACCCTGATGTGCTAACTTTTCAGTGTTTGTGATGTGAGGGAGATTCTACTGCTTCCATTCTGAAGAAATTATATCACATGCTTTTATAACATGAATGTAAATATTTCCCCCTGTAAAACAGGTGTTGAACTGCATAGTCCTTAGAAATATATCTGAAGACAAGTTGTTTAAATGTGTAATAAAAGTATTGACTAAGTGTTGACCACTTAGTTTTGCTCCTCTCTCTCTCTCTTTTAAACCACTATTCCAAATTCTATTGGCTTTAACAACTGGGGCCACAGGCATTATCCAATTCTACACACACTAGTTTGGCATCTAATGTTCAAATTTCTAAGAATCTTGGCTTCAGGTCATGGAAGTGTGTCTGCATGTGGCACCAAAATTTGTTTGGGGAACTTCCAGCAGTAATGCAAAAGGATTCACTTGCATGTGTCATGCATTCCTAGTTATTTATTTTTGGTAATTCAGAAGTTATTACCTTGAACCCCCTAATTTCTTTGTAAACTTCAAGTTCAAAAAGCAGCTGGAGAATTAGAGTCTGAACTGGCAGATTTTCCCATACATTTTTAACACAAAATCCCCATATCTGTTTCAATTCAGGGAAATTAGGGGTTCTTTAGGTGCAGCTTTTAAAAACATACTGAGCAGCTTCTCTGTCCCTCTAATATCTTTACAGTCACATTCCACTCTAGTATCCCTCATTCTCCTCCTATTCCATACCATTCTTTTTCCAGAATAGAAACATACAAAAAAACTCTAGTGTACAGTGTAAAACAAGGCACATAGGTGGAGCATGCATATTTGCATACCCTGATGATTTACAAAATATTTTCTTCATACAGTATATGAAAAGTTCTGGCTATAGAACTCCAAAAGAAAAGAAACCACACACCAATTTGGAAAGCTCTCTGTATATTAAGTGCTTTTTTGTAGTAAAAAAAAAGTACAAAGTCCTGATACGAAATATACAAAAAACGCAGCCAAGGAAAACAGTTGCCTTTCTACAAATATCAGTAGCGTTGCATAGAACAGCTTCTATGGGGTGCAGGGAATAGGAAAGTCGTCCAACTGGGTGTAATGCTTTAGAAACATTGCTAGGAAATTGTATGCATTTATACATAAATTAGAAGGGGTGTGTGAAATCACACACATCCCCAGTCCCATGCTGTTGCGAGAAACATTTTACCACCACCATCATGTTCTGGAATATCGGAGAAAGCATGAAGAACAAGAATAGAGTGTCTCGGCCCTTTTCTTAGCCAATAACTCATTCCCTCACACAACAATTGCAAGCAGAATACTGAGAGCTCTTATTGCTTCAACTAAACCAACAGGTGTGAGGCCACCAACTGGATCAGCAAGGACCATTTAAAACCCATTTTGAATTGGCAGAGTGCTGGCAATGGAAGAGTCCCAAAACTGTTGGGCCTTGGTTTTTTTGTTTTTGAAAGGGAGAACGCAGAGCTGGAACAACAGGAGGCACTAACTGACCTATAGCAGGCATTCTAAAGCAGATGTATCTACAAGGTGAGTAGACTCCTCATAGGCAGAAGTGCAGGGAAGGTGCGAAAGTCAGCAGCTTAATAATGCTGAATGGAAAAAGGGGACCCTGAGCTATTTTGAAAAGGCCACTGGGTAGGCAGTACCCTGAGTAGCCACCAGAAGACAGGGCAAGTACGCATGTAGCCCCCACGCAGGCAGGTAGGAAGAGATGCTAAGCATCAGACAATGAAGGGGGTGCTGGTGTATGAAGACACTCGTGCACCCCCAAGGACAGGGAGGGAAATGCAGTCGCTGCAATAAATAAAGGTACAAAATAACCTATGTGACTGCTCCTGAAGCCTCCCCACTACCACCAACTCCTGCTATGTGCAAGTGCAATTGGTCAGAGTCAAAGTGCCACTGAGGTCACCATGGGAAAGTCCAACCAGACACACTGTCCTTCCATAATGATCTAGCCATCATCTTCTGCATCAGAACCTCTCCCATCTGACTCCTCATGGAGAGAGGACCTCAAACCAGGAACATCATCTTCTTGGCCGCTCAGGACCTCTTCCACGGCTTCACCTACATCAGCAAAGTAGGATATGTCAGGATGTCTCTCAGTGCCTGGCTTGCAAGCCAGAACCAAACCTTCCTTACCCACAGTTCTGATACTTCATTGTCCCTCAATCCTGTTCCCTCCCACTGAGCTAAAGCCTCCACTAACCTGGTCATGTGCTTCTGAACGATCAACAACTCCCTTCAGTCCCAACTTCCTAGATCCCAAGTTTTTTAAATTAACATTCCTACTCTGGTGTCCAGGAATTGCAACACTTTAATGGAGACAGCTTCATTCCACCATCACTTACCTCTCCCACCCTCCTCCTCATCCATGATCTCATGCACGTCTGTCATCTCTTCCTCCTCCTCCTCTTCACCATCATCATCCACAATCACGACAAAGTCATCACCATTTTCTGTCTCACTAAACACACACAGAGAAGAGGGAATGTGTCACCAATTGTCCATCATCTTTTGCTGGGCTTCACAAAACCCTCAAGTTATGTCTCTTAAGAGTTAATAATAGATTTAATCCTGTCACCACAAGCTTTGACAAAATGCAAATCCACACACAATGGCAGGTTTACATTCTTGCCCAGAACTCATTCATACCAATGTCTCCCCATATTCCAGCAGATCCAGTGGAGCAATGAACAAAGAATTGGCATTCTCACCTGTCCTCTTCACCATTTTCACCACCTTCTCCCATCAGGTAGTATTGCAGCGGATTGGGCCAGAGGTCCTCTTTAATTATCTATGAGAGGGCAGAAAAGAGTATGAGGAATAGAGAAATAGAGATACAATTATCTATTTAGGACAGGATAAAGCTCCCACCTCAGCAATGCGGTCTCCTGCTGGGAAGCTGTGATCGCAGAACCAGCTGAAGAAACTACGCTCCATCTCAATGTTCTTCCGGCCATGAGCTAGTGGATCCAGGCCTCGCCACCAGCGGATGGGTGTAGAGTGGGATACCAGCCTTCCTGGAAAGGATAGACACATACCCAGGAGGTGTAAGCAAGTGCACATCATTCCTGGACTTAACTTCTCTAAAACATTGCCTCCTATTGCATACCAGAAGAACCACACTGGAACTCCTTCACAATGACTTCATTCTGAAAGTAGGGGTTGCTGTTGAAGTAGAATTTGATCTTGCAGCCCGACTTTGCATGGGTGAAATCCTCAACCTGGCATATCAAAGAACATCCAAATCATAAAGCTAGCAGGGGATTGACAATCACCACCCTGACCTGGGGCCGGGTTCTTCCAAAAAAAAGAAATCAGGATTCCAGAGTTTATTTATTTATTTAAAAATATTTATATACCGTCCTAATTGCAAAAAAGCCTCAGGACAGCTTACAATGTAACAGCATAAATAAAAGTTTAGTAGGCTTAATTCCCTTCATAGCTTGGGATTGTTCTATATCTTGGCCCCAATGCACAACTCCTGGTGCAGTTACCTGCAGATTGGTCATGTAGCTCAAGGTGTCCTCATCCCGGTCATTGATCATGGCTGAAAGCTGGGGATGATTGAGAAACTGCAAAGTTAGAGTCAAGGAAAGAAACACCATGTGTGCTACCCTTGGAGGAAGGATGGGATATAAATGTAATAAAGAAAAAACAGAGTCATCCTATGCTCCTCAAGCGCAGTGCTGTCCAGCCTAAAGAACAGCTCTCTCTACTGAGTCTCTGGGCTTTTATCCCCAAGGGTTTTACCGTATTAAGAACTCCACTGAACAACTCCCCCCCCCTTATTTCCTCAAATGTATCCCTTCTAATGGATTATTTAGTATAGAAGGACACTTCTCACAGCCTGTTAAAGCATGTCCCTCTGCCTTGGTTGGAAATAACAACTAAAATTTCAGCCGGGAAAGCTGTCTTTTGGGATGCTGGAAGAAATCTGTATCTTGCTGGCCAAGGCAAGACCCACACACCCCCATCATAACCCAACAGTAAACAAAGGAAACACTTTACTAGGGCTCTGTGGCAGCTATTTTCAATCTAAACCACCAATTAAAATATCTAAAGCACAGTGTGACTCTTCAGTGCCCATTTCCATATGGCATCCTCTGGGAGAGCACACTGATGCAGCACATGTTTTGCACATGGAAGCTCCCAGCTTCAATCTCTGGCACCTCCAAATTAAAACACCCATTGATGGGGCTGACTTCCCATGATTTTGTTCATTCATTTATTCATTTTAAGTATTCTTACGATGCTCCTCCACCTAACTGGCTCCCAGAGTGGCTTAAAGCCAAAGAAGACTCTAGCACGGGACTAGAGAGACTAAGGGCCCTACTCAGCCCATAGGTCTGCTTCAAATGTTCCTATGCTTACTGCAACACAGCCCTGGCCTCTCCCTTTTGGGGGAGTTTTCTGAAAGCCTTTTCCCAGAGAGCTGTCAAGGGAAGCTGATGGCAAGAGCAGGATACAGCAGTGACCCAGAAGCCAGGAATGTTCTGGATAATGAGGTTGCGCCGATCCAGATGTGGGCGTCGCATGTGGCCAAACTTGGCCTTGAGCTGGGCAAAGGTGCGGCTTGCCTGCTGGTTCACTGCCTCCAGTTCCAGCTGCACAGCCTCCAGCGCTTCCAGGTACTGCTCGGTTTTGCGGGGTGGCTGTGGCTTTCCTTCATCATCCTCCTCGTCGTCCTCCTCGTCGTCCTCCTCGTCGTCCTCCCCCACCGAGATGATGGAGCACTCATCCTCGACTGGCTCGACAACCCTCTGCTTCTCCCTGGCCTCCTTCCTCTTCCTCCTGCTCTCCCGGCCATCCCCAGCCTCATCTGTCACAGAAGGGGTGTCAAGGCCGCTCTTCGCCTCGCTGGTGGCGGTTTCCGGGGCCCGTTGCGTACCGCTGCCACTTCCTAGGCCACCCGCGGCGCTTCCTTGTGCCTCCTGTCTATCGCTCCCTGCGTCCAGGGTGCCCGAGCCCTTCGCGGGAGCGCTGGGCTGAGCAGCGGCGTCGATTTCGCGCGCCCCCTGCAGGCCGGACGTTTCTAGGCTCCCCTTCTTAGCCGAGGAGGTTGCTCGCGCTTCCTTCTGGTTTACGGTTTCAAGGCTCCCGCCGCCCCAAGCCGTCATGTCAGCCAGAGTCTGGGCAGCCTCGGTCTCCTTCTGCAACTGACAGGCCGGGTCTAACCGCCGTTGCTTAGAGGGCGGAGGTGGTGGGTCCCCATTCCCACCGTCCCCGCTCATGGTAAGATCCAACTCGGGTCGCACCGACAGATCAAAATTAGCCGTAGGATTGGGGGATGGTGAAAATCTGCGAGCCCAGCCGACGATTTTAAAGGGGGGGGGAGACTGAGGAAGGGGGAAGGGAGCAAGAGAAACGGGCTCCTCTAACTGCCAAAGCGCGAGAATCCTGCGCAGCTTTTCCTGATTGGTCACTGGTGACTGACGTCGGGCCACTGGTGGAGACGCTTTCTTCTTCACGCTGACGATCCCGAGGCGGATTGGTTAACTCTGGCAGGCAATCGCAAAGAAGATCCCGCCTTCACTGTACCCCACGTGGGAGATGCAAACGTTGATAGGCTGAAGGTTTCACCCTTGTACCTCTTTCATTCGCTTGATCTCTATTGGGGTGCTTCTTTTCTACAGACCGTGCTTCGATTGTATCCATCGAAGAAGAATCAACAACTCTCGGGCGTCTCCGCGGAGACCGAGCAGGAGGCGCATGCGCACTGGGAGCATTCGGGTGCGGCTCCCTTTCCGCCCAGGGCGCATGCGTTGGGGAGCGAGAGGCGCTCAATCCCCCGTATGCCGAGTGGCCGACGAGGTTGTGGGTCGGACGGGAGTGGGGTGCGGAGGTCTGTGGGAAGAAGTCCTCGCGCAAGACGGTGCCGCGGGCAGGTGGGATGCAAATTCGGCAGTGAAGGACGCGGCAAGGAAGGAAACAGGCGTGCGCCAGAGTGTGGTGTGTGCAAAGACGATTTCCGAAGGGGGTGGTGCGCGAGGGATATCTGCACAGACCATTACCTAATAATGATAATTCTTAGCTGCGCATCATTAACTCGAGGAATAGGATCCCAGATTAGGTTGCTTTAAAGGGGGGGGCAAATTTGGTTACGAGGGTGCAGCCCTACACTTAACTTGAAATAAATTACCTTGAACTCTGGGTCTGTTTTTCTGAGTAGATCGCAGTTAGCTACAGTAGCCAAATGGAGCCTCCAGGGTCAATAGCAGTATAGCTTCCCAATGGCAAATAGGGAATTGGCTTGTGGGCCTATAACTTCAGTGAGGTGATTGACACTGGGTGCTGGGATGGATGAGCTTTTACCACCTTTTCAAGGCCTCCAGGAAAAGGAGTTTGATCTTAAGGAGAGTGAGTGGCAAGATACAAGGCTGTCAGCTATTTCTTTAGTCACGGGCACTTTGGCTGCTTGAGGCACCAAGCACTGTCCTTAACCCTCCAGGAGATGTTTTCTGCCCTTCGTTGCTGAGTTCTTCCAGAACCCAACAGCCCTAACAACTGTTTCCAGCCTGCCTTGTCCTGGTAGCTCCATTCGCCTTGCTGTGTACAGCATTGCTCTTCACTGCAAGACCTGTGGGCACTCGCCTCTCCCCTTTTTTGCAGTACCTTCTCAGGCTCAGCAGAGACTCTCTAGCCTCACCTTGTTGGTTGCTTCAGCTGCCTTCTACGACCTTGAATTATGGGCAGAAGCTTTAGAAGTGGGCGGTTGGGAGGTTTGTTGCTTGCATCTGTAAGGTGGTGGACTGAAAAGAAGAGAATGCAGGAGCAGTCAGCCATTTAGCTGTGGTGAGGGAAAGCTCCTCCATCTGTCTTCTCCTATGGGGATAAGATGAGAAACACCCTCCCATAGCTCAGGAAAGGCCCCCAAGTACCTTCAGTGACGGTTTCAAGTAACTCCTTGAAAAAAGAATGAAGATCACTGGCATGAATGCTGCAACTGCAATATTAGGTTCAGTTTCTAGAGAAGAAGCCTCATTGAACACTACTCATTTATTCCTTATTAGTTCCCATACACATTTGTTGTTTTGCCCATAGAACTGCCAGGGCTGTAAAGTGATAAAGGGTGGAATTACCACTGTTTGTTTATTTATATCCACCTTTTTTCCTTTCAAGGAACTCAAGGCTGCTTATGTAATTCTCCTCCTCATCTCAGTCTTATCCTCATAAGAACCCTGCAAGGCAGGTTGGGCTGAGAGCTTGTGACTATCTCAAAGTATGCAGTGAGCTCCGTGGCTGAGTGGGAACTAGAACTGGGACTTCCTGAGTCTCAGTTTCACACTCTTAACTGCCAGCACACTGTTTGCATGTACCTGCATGGAATGGCAGGGATAATTGCAGTGGCATTCACAGGTGTAGGATGTGGGAATGGTCGTTGTTCTGGACATTTTGGGGCCTAATGCAGAACATCCAAATGCCATTCTGCCTCCTTCCTCCGGTAACTAATATGAGGCAGTGTTTCCATGGTGCTGGTTTATTTCAGGTGAGTTTTGCACAAGTGAACTTCAGGTGGATTGTACTCTCTCTGTTGCATTTATTTAATTTGCATAAAAGCCACCAATTAGCATTATGTTTTTTGGGCAGCATTTGTCCATCTTGTTTCCCATTCTACTACCTAAAATCTAACTCCTGAGGTGGTCACATCAGTTACTCAACAGGGAAAGCCTTACTGTTCACACTTCATGTGTAAATATTTAAATACATTTCCTTTGTTTTGAGCAGATGTGTTGTAATCAGACAAATTTCAGAAGTTTGTTCAGCTCTGTTTCAGGAAGGAACTCCGTGAGGTAGAGATCTTTAACAGTTAGTGGGGAGTGGAGCAGATGTAAATTCCTCTACATATGCCTTGCCAAAGCAGAGCAAGACCAGTGGCTTAGCATGGCATTTCCATTTGGTAAACCATACCAAGTTAACAGGCAGATTTCCATGTGTCCCTTTACAACACTGCAAATAAGCAAGATTTTTCAGAGCATTATCTGATACTGGTTGTTTATTATTACTGATTTATTGTGCTTTCCTCTTTTCCTGAACCCACTATGATGGGGTTTACATTTGCTTAGATTTCTTTCTGAAGTATAACTATAACCATATGGATGCAAAATAGGAAAATAACATTTGATACAAAAGAAGTGAATGTAAATGAAACCTGCTGCATTGCAGCATTTCACACAGTATGTGAATGTTTATAGAAAATAATTGTATACACTTCCCTGGTTTATCCCACTTTCATTTCCTTTCCTGTCTTCTTCAATTGTCTCCCTTTTGTTAATTTATAAATTGTAAACCTGTTGGGAGAAGGAGCTGTTCTATCATGTTTTGTAAAATGCTGTGTATTTTGGCAGTATATAAATAATAATTCACTTTCCAATACTCTCATGGTGTATTTTTAATAAGAGAAGATTAAAAGGAACTGGTGCAGGTGTAATTTTCACTATGTAGTTATACCTGGCTTGTTTTTCCTTCTCCATTATGTCTTACACATGCAAATTTGACCAGAGATAAGAAAGGAAATACAGGAAACCCAGCTGAATGTATGATTCTATTGTTGTTCCCAGTGCTGAAAATAAAAGGGAGGTGAGACAAGAGGCTAACAAAAACAAACAAAAACTGGTATGTATCTGCGAGAGAAACTGGCCTAAGCTGAAACAGGGAGGAGCCATAGCTTAATGGTAAAACATCCGCACAGTACTCTGGTTTTATTCCTTGTCTCTTTCAAGAGGTTCAGTGGTAGCACAGCTGGGAAACCCCTCGGTGTAAAATCAGAGGGAGCTGTTGTCAAGATAAACTAACTGGACCTCAGTGTGTCTCAACATAAAGCACAGGTGGGCTACCTACAGCAAGCGTTTCACCAGTGGCATAAGGCAACAAGAATTTGTATCACACCAGAACTGGTGTAAGAGAGCTTACAGACCTGGCTGTAAAGCTGAGCCTCTGCAGCTTCTCCAGCGCTTCCCTGCTGTTTGCTCTCATGGTTGGTGAATGAGTCAAACCACCATGTGGCTTGAAGAGGCTGCACACTTGAATGGCACGATGTTACATTGTTGACTTGTGTGGAACTTGCCAAAAGGGTTGCTGGTGCCAGTTTTGTGTCCTCAACAGAAAAGCATTCTAAAAAGGGGGAAGCCTTATTAGGAGGCAAATTACAACATAAAAAGGGGTAATTCATAGAGTGGCAATACATAGGCGCAATCTCGCAATCAAAAAGGATCTTGCATAGTAGAAACACTGGAAATATTTTGGCTGATGAGCCAGTACCTGCTAAAAACTAGATGGACCAGTGGCTTGACTTAGTATGAAGTAGTTCAGTATATGCAGATAAGGCATCCTGCCGATTGGCTTTGCAAGGTGCATTGTCTTTGACTCTGAGTATTTTTAGAATAAGCCTTCCTCTTTCTTTCTTGCTATTACTTGGGCCTATAAGTAAATTAATTTAATTTAATTAAAACATTTCTATGATGACCTTTGCAACAAGCCTTGGGATGGCTTACAAAAAATAAAAATAGTGATATACAAATTAAAACATTCAGTAATAACATAGCAGAAACAATTCATAACTAAAAAAGGGAAAGAAAAGAAGAAATGTGACTTTATTATTATTATTACTGTTATTAAAATTATTGATATTATTAAAATGGTGGTTAAATAAAACCTGGTGCTGGAAAGAATAGAGCGTCAGGCGGACCTCTCTGGGGATAAAGAGACAGGCAATGCAATAAAGCAACTTTTGAGGAACTGAAAATGTCCTTAACAAATCACAAGATAAGTGAGTATGGCAAAGAATTTTTTTCATGAGAGCACGGGTGTGGCATAGGTTGGATAGTTGTTTGTATAACATGAATCAAGAGGTTTGGTACTACAGCTTTGCATGGGGAGGGAAGCAATCAAGAAAGGAAGAGATTGTGGCAGCAGGCTCCACAAGGTGGCAATATGAGCCAGACTCTGGAAGCAAATCTTGCTTTTATAGTGAAACTTTGAAGTGAATAACCTGTTAGTCCAGGGAAGATGATGAAGACAATTTCCTCTTTGGGTTTGATTTTAGGGAGTGGGGTATTCTGCTGCAGAGAACAGGGAGGAGAAGAGCAGGGTTAAGAGGCCAAAATTAGCGTGCCCTTCTGCATGTCTCAGAGCCCTCAAATGTTACCATGCTATTCTGGCCAAGGAATTACAATATAATTATTGTATATTATTGTGAGTATATTAGTTGCTTCCATATTAAGTGTTTGGAACACTCAAAAAGCTCTCTATAAATGCTAAATACCCACAATCAAAAAACTTTACAGCTTTCCAGTCTACAAATGAGGTTAGATAATCTGTTTTTACATAGGTGACATTTTCAATTGGCAATATTCTAGTCATTTCAACTGAAAATTTTGAACACATATATTTTAGGATTACTCCAGTCTGTATGGAGTG